CTTTCATATCGTCACAACAATAGGGGCATCCCGCTGCCCTACTTGGTGCACAACTGGTGTAGGGTGCGCGACATCCACCACTGAGAGCGCCCCTCGCGCTGAAAGCGGCCAAGAAAGTTTGGCAGCTTGGATCCGCAGGATTTTCCATTGACCCGTCCACCAAATGTCGGCCTCGATGCGGCTACTCCATGGATAATCCATCCGCTACTGGATGGTCCTGTCGTCTGAACAGGTCTCCCTGAGTGCTATTGCAACAAAATGCTTCCAAGCGGGTCCGTAATCGTTGTATTGCGGGCGTTTGTGGAGACTTGACCTATGTGAACTTGGGCTAAGTGAGATCCAGACGAAACAGGGCAAGTCTCAAGTTGAATGCGTGTGATGCAGGTGATTGATCGCCATGAAGCTCGCTCTCGCTGCCTTGGTTGCCCTCCTTCTGTTGGTGCGTGTCCCTGGATCGAGGCAAAGGAAGGGGTCGATGCGTTGACGTGTAGGAACACCCCTTATGTTTGCATCTTGTCCCTGGGCTTGCCAACTCCAGTGAGCAAGAAATCTGCACAATTGCTACCGCTTGCTTGGACCAGAATTGCCACTGCTTGCCACCGCTTGCTGGCAGTTACTATCAGCAAGTGCTCTCTGGCATCAGGTTTTGGGAATACTGCCTACAGGGGAGCTGGATTGCTAATGCTCCGACTACTATTGTAAAAAAAGAAATGGATGTTCCGATGTATTTGTCAAGGGAGATTTGCCTTAAACCTGTGTTCATTGAGCTCTTTTTCGTTCCTATTTAAAAAACGTGAACTGCAAGCATATCACTTTGACATGGTAGGAGTAAACAGTCGCATAGCACAGATGCAACAACTTCTATCCGTTACCCTGTAGTAGTCTAGGCATGTTGCACCTGACAATTGCATTTGTTAGCGGAATTTGATTCATTGGTTGACTGCATTTGTCGAAGGCGATACGAAAACGGAATTGGCGGTGTCAGTGATCAGGACAAAATAAAAGATTAGTGTGCATTACTACCAGCTATTGCATTGGATGCACTTTTGTTCAGGGGCAAGCTTCACTGCTGCTACAGCAACAACTTCAGAGCATATGAAGTTGTCCATCCATTCAGTGGAAAGCTTTCCCGGAAAGCCTGAAGGCAATTTGCAAGAGCGATGCACCATGTATTACTTACTAAACCTGTCCTTTTCTGCAATAGGCCAACGTGGTGGCTGGTGATGACGATGGCGAATACAGCTACCACAAGAAATGTGAGGATGTACAAATTCACAAGTGCGTAGAGTCACGTGGTGAGTGGCAGTGCCTTCACAGCAAGCCTAAATGCACGATGGATGCAGGGGTGCACACTTGCAATCAGCATAGTTTGCAAAAGGGAAATTCCCATGCTGTTGCAACAACTTTGCATTTGCCCAAACAGCTAAAAGTACTGCTTTCTGGAACTGCGAATGTTCATTCAGTACATGCAGCAATCCATTCATAGCAATGGATGCACGGGCAGGAGGAAATTTGCTGTGAAAACTGTTTTTTCTTTTTCCTAGCCCGGAGTTCTTACACATTTCCTTGCTTCATTTGCACCAGGAATAGACAATTGGAAAACTGAATTTTGTGCATATGCACAATATTAGTAAAATAGTATGCGTACTATGAAGTTGCTTCGTCAGAAGCTAGCCCATGGTCAATGTGTGGGTGATATTGTGGAAAATAAATTGGCAGACTGAGGGAAATGACTTGCGAATTTTGGGTAATGGCGCCGTTGTTACATACCCCGATGATGCGGCATGCCGTCCGCTGAAGATGCCCAAGTTTCGCGAAAATTTGCTGACAGTGGCACTGCGACTGATTCATCCTGTTCCGCTAAGCGACGCATATGTGCGTTCCCCATTCAGAGCACTGCTGGGAGGAGGAGGTGTGCGAAGAGCCCAAGAAAGGTATCGCGCATTTCTGGAGGGGATCGCACAGGATTCCTGATTTTTCGACACTCCTCCGTGCTAAGGGTGCATCAAACGATGTCCACTTCCAGCATCAGTTCTGATGATTTAGAACGTTGGTATGTGCGGCAAATCATTGTGTCCCAAGGAAGCGTTTTTGATGCAAAGTGGCCGTGAAAGCGAGATTTAAATTGCAGGTACTGAAATACTTGTTGCCGTGCCAGTGGCGTGTGGAAAGAAATGGTGCACATATCCCGAGGTATGCAAGTATGACACAAGGAAAGTCTGCAAGAACGGTGAGTTCTGGGGGGTGCACTACGTCTTTGCGTTGTGGATTTTCGCGACGGTGGATTATTGCAAGTCGGCCGTGCGGCATTTGTATGGATCCAGATTTCGTTTTGCAGTTTAGCAGCTTGACAGCTCCAATGTGCATGAAAGTGAACTGGAGTAATAGAGATATAGTTGAAACAAGTGGTTGATCTGCTAAACGATTGAACCGTGAGGTTAATCATGTTTGCTACGTCTGGACCAGCGCTACCTACTTTGTTTCACTCAATACACACAGATTTCGGCAGACGTTACCATAATTGATTGTGTAATCCCCGGAAGGCTGATTTTCCTTGTTCGGAGTTGAAGTGGTTCTTGATGTCGTTGACCTTGCTGATTCTGAGAGAAGCTGCAGCTAAGTCACCATGTCTGGCGCTTGAGCCACAGCAGACCGCTCATGCCTGCATTGTGTGAGTCCTGCCCATGGTCTCAACAAATTTCTTAGAATGTTCTCCTGACGTCGACGTGTCCAACCCTGACACTGCTTTGCGCTGCTACCTGCAGTCACGAAGTACAAGAAGGTCTGCGCGGATCCCACATACACCTGCAAGCAGGGTAGGTTCTTGCGGCACAATTCTTCGCGCCCAAACCCATCGTTCGCCGCGAGCTTCATTGCGAAGTTCAATGTGCGATGTGTTACGAATATCACGCGAGTTTTAGGTCTCAATGCATTGTCCGAATGCAGAATGTACATAGATTATGCACTCGAACAAATACTGTTGCCATGGAGTGATGCTTGTTTCATTGCAGAGCTGACGGCATGTGGCGACGACTACTGCACGTACGATGAGGAGTGCGTTGAGAGTGAAGTCTGCAAAGTGATCAAGGTCCCAGTGCACGGTGAGTGCTTTCTGCCAATTAGGATACTTTCATCTCTGCAGCTCTGTTTGCACCGCTCCGGTCTACTAACGACGGCACTCCAAACCCCTGCTGTCAACAGCCATGATGCTACCAGTAATAACAACAGCATCAACGCTTTCAGCAGCGGTTGGGTCTTCAACAGTCTTTAAGCTGTGCTTTGTCCAGTGCTGAGGACATATCTAAGCAACGCGTGGTTGGCTCTGTTCCAATTGTCGCAACTCCAGCAATGATGGGATGCCGCTGTAGAACAGAGCGTATTTTGCATTGGTCCGTATTTCTAGGTGTCCTAGAAGCACTGTTGGGGAAATCTAATTTGTGGTTTCCTTGCCTTATGTGTCAAATGCCGACAGTGTGGCTACAACTTACCAACAATATTTTCGCACAAATTCTTGAAGGTTTGTTATCCGAAGAGGGGACAGGGGTTTGTTTATTGGGATGGAGTGTCCTTGTCCCCGTCACTGAGTTCTCTTCCTACTGCAGCACCTTCTGGACCTGCCTATGCCAGCGCAAGCGCCGCTGCAACTTCCAACGGGGGCCCTGCCCACGCATCAGCCAAGGCGGTCTCCACGTCATCCTCAGGTGAGAGCCCTTCTGTTGAAGGAGAGTATACACTGTTCAGAGCATTTAAACTGCTGATGCGTGAATTCTTCCAATCGGATGCCTGCATCGAGTGCTTGGGACCACTGCCCGCAGTCGCCAATATGGCAAAAGGGCTTTGTCACATGATAGATTGTTATCGAAGTGAGTATTCTGATACTTGTGCTGTACCACATGTCCATCGGCATGAAAGCACTCACATGCTCATCCTCAGTGCTCCAAATCATCTGTAGTCAATACTGACAGAGATTGTGCGCCTTGCACATGGCGCCCGCCACCACATTGCGAATCTTGGCGTGTCTGCGCCTGGCATATGGGTTGGCTGTACTATCCTAGCACCATAACGGATCCGCAGTTTAGGGATCAGGGCTCCACCACTGGAGGGTACGGGGCGCAAGGCCACTGTACAGCGAACCTCTCCCAGTGAGGCTGACAAAAACTTGTCAAGCCAATGTCGACACCGAGTTTCGACGGAAGCACCAGCCTTGGCTCTGCTTTCGGCAGGGCATTTCATACAGCGGTCGTGGGCATTGCCATGCAGTGGGGGACTCGAACGGTAGTGGCGAGCATGGAAACGTGCATGTTCGACTTGCAAATTTCTGGAGTTTCCATTTCGGGTGCAACAACATTCAATCAAATTTTGTTTTGCACCCCCATTTAATTCTTTGGAGCAAGCTCGCGGCGAGGCGTTACGATCCTCATACAAAATCAAACGGTGGGAGACGAGAACATCAGCTCTCGTCTGCCCACCGTGAGAGTCCCCATCCCAGTGCCCTGATTTGACGTTGGGAAACCGTGGTGCTCTTTAACTGCGTGCGTCCACGCTCATACCCCCCAGTTCGTGCAAACACGGGCATCCAACCAGCGGGGCAGCTCTTTTCTGAACCCAGGTGTCATTAGGGAAGACACTATTTGAATTTGGTTCCTCAGCGTCAAATGGACGCGGCGGGGAAGAGGGGGGAGAAGGCCAAGACGGACGCCAAGAGATTAGTTGATTGCACTGAAATCAAAATCAAGGCTGGAAGGTGTACATAAACTCCGCTGATCAGCGGCAGACAGCTCATGTTGCAATACCGAAACAACAGACGATGCAACGCTCCCGTCAACAAGGCTGCAGCGTTGACATACTGTCGTGACAACCTGTCCGCACCGGCTGTGTACGACGTCCATTCCGTCCTGGACGAACCGAAAGTTAAGGGCGCATTGCGCAACCCTGGCATGGACATGGACCACCCAAGAACACAACAGTCGGTGCGAAGCAGGCGGCATTGCGCGGCGCAAATGCGCGACGGCGACGTCAAGACCGTCCCGCCTGGACGGTCGCCCGCGCTCACGACAGCCCGCGCGAGTCTCCCGCTCGGCCGGGAACAAACGACGCAGCAACGCGGGGATCGCCAAGCGGCGGATGGGGCCGGGACCAGGGCGGATGCATTGTTGTCGTCGTCGTCGGCGAACGTAGCGGGCGCGCGGCCGGTGGTGGTCCGGGGGCGCCTGTACGGCTCGCAGCGAGAGCGGTGGAGGGAGCAGAAGCGGCGGCAGAGGGCCAGGCAGAAGGCGGCGCAGGGAAGGGAATCGCAACGGGAGGAATGGAGGGGAGCGAAGAGGCTGCCGAGGGATAGGCAAAGGACAGAGGCACGGGGCGGGGCGGCATCGATGAACGAGAGGGCGGTTTCGGAGATTGCGGCCTGTGCGGCGGACTGCAAGGCGCCGGATCGGGATGCGGCGCATCGTCACGTAGCGGTCGATGGGTGCATTGTTTGGGGCACACCTGTGGTTACGGTGAAGACGGAAGATGCGAGCATGGGCACCGGGCCCAGTCCGCTAAGAGATGTGCCCACAGTTGTGGCAGATTGCCTCGGTGCGGATCAGATCAGGGAACGGTGGGAACAGCGGGCCGGGGGCCCGGATCCGGCGCGCGCGGATGACGGGGAGGCGGCCGCAGTGTTGGCCAATTTCGCGATGGCGTCGGTGTTGTCGACGCTTCGAGATCGCGTACACGCGCGGGCGGTGCGACAGCGGCGCCAGTGGAGGGAGCAGAAGAGGCGGCAGAGGGCGCGGAGGCGGGCGGAGGAAGGGAGGGCGCCTGGCAGAGCAGCGGGGACGTCTGCTGGGAAGTGTGGCGCTGCATTGGAGGGCACACGAACAAGGCACGGGATGCTTTGCGACCCGCGGAGGCAGCAAGAGAGGGAGGGAGGGAGACGAGAACGGGAAGGGAGGACGGGGCCAAAAGCGCCAGCGGCAGGCGTTGGGGTGTCGGGGGTCGCTGTGAAGGCTGAATCGTGCGCTCTGCGGGAGAAATTCCGTGAGTGGCAGCGGCAGATATGGAGGGAACAGAAGAGGCGACAGAGGGAGAGGCGGAGGGGGGAGCAAGAGCCGCGGGCCGCCAAGGCAGGCGCTGGACTGGTCGAAGCGCACACGCCGACGGCCCACAAGCGTCTTTATGACTCACAGCGGCAGCAATGGAGGGAACAGAAGAGGCGGCAAAGGGAGAGGCGAAGGGCACGCCAACGAGAGGGGGCCACAGGGACAGTGGCATCCAGCAGAGCTGTGCAGTGCCGGAGTGAGCATCCTGTGTGCAGGACATTCCACGCAGTCTGTTCTCTGTGCGGGCAGTGTGGCAAATGTGGTTGTGGCCCCATGGGTGCAGGCATACCATTCCCAGCATGCACCCAGTAATGCATCTCCATCGTGAAAGAACGAATGCTGTCAAGAAATGACAAGGAGTTCACCCCTGTGGGTGTTTCTTGCAGTTGGTGCATGGGCTGGTTTCGCTGGAGAGGGATGTGCATTACTACCATGGGGTGTGCTATCAGTTAGATCCACTATGGACAGGTGAGGTAGAGCGATTGGTGTCTTCTTTGTTTCAGGTTCTGAAAGTGTCTGGTTTTTTAGGCGGGGATAACAGTCACGGGTGCTGGAGAACTCTGAGTGGCAGCCTCCTGCATGACTAGTGTGTAAGTGGTTCTGTAGAAGTTGGCCCAGGGACGGGGCGATCGATTAGGACATGGTATGTGTGGGAGTATGACACCGCTCTGTGTGGCTTCACCATTTAATAGACACCAAAACGAAACCCGCCTAGGGGAAAGCACAAAATGCGGATGTTCAGATCAGTGCCTGCATGTGCTCCAGACTATCTTCAGTGTGTGCGCATCTCGTTTCTTCAATTGGGTGTCTGCAAAGCTCAAGGGAAATACAAGCGACGAGCATCCCTATTGGTGCAAAGTGAGTCTGTCTAACAGACATCACCTGTATGCAGTAAGTAGGGCTGTGACAACAAGCATCCCCAGCACTGGCCATGGCACCAGGAGGGTGGGCCCTTGAGACAGTGTCAACACCTTTCACCCACTGCCTTCATTTACATATAGCAGCCAGATTTGTGTTGTGGTTCACGAAGAAAATATCAGTTCGACAATGACATAAGCAGCACAAAATTAGCACTTTTGCACAGATGTTGTCCACTTGCAGATAACTTGTTCCTCTCTTCCCAGCATGAACGTCCAGTTCCAGCAGTCTGTGTGTTTTTGATACGATCCCAACTTGCTTGACAACAGGTCCAACATACAAGGATGAGACTGTGTGCCACAAGGAACTCAACTGTGCTTTCAAAGGTGGGGGTTTTGAGCTCATTGTGTGCAGCCCTAGACTGCATCGTTGACAGTGTCAAATGTTCAATGTGTGGCACTTGTCACAAGGTTCTAGTACATGGACCCGACTGCTGCTCTTGATTTGGACGTGCTTGGGCATACCATGGATGAACTTGTTTGGTTGATAAGATCCCTTGCTGCAGCCGATAGTCATCAGCAAGACAAATTTGCTACATATGCAGCTGCTGGCTGAAGCAGAAATTGTCTTGACAACATGTTGCCAATATTAATGCCTCCATTGCCAACGTTATGATGCAAGTCACAATCCCCATCAGCAATCTCTCGAATGTGCTACACAGTCGTTCACTTGCTGTTTGAGCATTGAGCATTGGACCTGTGCTGTTCTGGCCAGATCCCTGCAAGATTGTGTATGCACTGAAGTGCGTGCATGCAGAGCTGAAAGAGGGCAAGGCTTATGAAGGGAGCACGTTCACATGGATGAAACCTTGGGAAGGTCAGTTGTGTTAGAGTTCGCTGGCATGGAATTTTGGTTGTGGTGCTTGGGACATATCGCTGCTGCACTGCTCTCTGGACTGCCTATGCAATATGGATGTGTTGTGCTAGCAGCGTTTGTTCTGCTTCAGCACTATGCTGCACCCAGATTGCAGGTATTGAAAGGGCACTCTGCACCAAGATTTCTGACAATGATTTGGAACGTCAGCTGCTTTAGCCTCCACGCTCTCTGCAACACTGCAGTGATGAGTCAAGCATCTGTTGGGCCCCAGATGGATCAAACCATGTGGAACTCCTTTCTGATACCATGTTGGTCGAATTGCTTCTTTGTGCAGTGGGCCAGCAGTGTGGCAATGGCTACTGCCACGAAGGCTACAAGTGTGCTAATGTTGCAACCAAGGTCTGCCCAGAAGGTAGGCAAGTCTGCGCACAGTGCTCTGGCAATATGTACGTTACTGGTGCACCCAGATACTTCAGAATCAACTTCCACGGCACAGACAAGATGCTAAAGGATCCTGTTCACCATCAGATTGCCCACTGCATGACTGGCAGCCTTTCTTCTTTTGGGAAACTTTGGCACTGATGCCTTACAATTTCGGGTTACATGCCTTTGGCGAATGGACTGCTCGGATCTGTTGAGAGAAATTCTGAAACAATCATGCTGGTGGCACCCCAGGCACCATACTCCCACAGTGCTGTAGGTCCACCGTTTGTACAAGTGCATCCACCTTGCAATGGACTCCTATTTTGTCCATCTTCCCGCAATTGCAGCCTATCATGCTTGGGCCACCTTTGGGAACAGTGGCTTCAGTTCTGCTTTGCATTGCCCAGTTAATGGAGTCCTGAAGGACAAAGGACAACACAAAAGCTGCACACTTTGCACCCAGCCGCTACAATATAGTCAATCAGCTGGCATTAGAATGTTAGTGGTGGCTTTCAAAGCTGGGGCAGCGTACTGTTGACGTGGGAACCATTAAACCGCTGAAATGCCTGTGGTGCTGAGTAGGGGTGAAATGTGGCAACCAGCTTTGCGATCCTGGATACAAGTGCCTGGAGGAGGACAACTGCAAGGATGTGCCATGTAAGGACGAGTTCATTTCTTTTTGGGACTACAGTTGCCTCTCAGAACAAATGAACGCCCTTGCACCCGCAAGTTCAGTGGCAAAGGGTAGAGCCTTCTGAACTCAGTTATCTAGCTGTTTGCTGATGCTTCTGTTATGTTCATATCTACGCTCTCCCACATGCACAAATTGTAAGTGGCAACTACGAATATCACAAAATGCCTGGTTCAACTGGTGAACAAGAAAGCCATGTTGCGAAATGCAGGGGCTGCGATGCGGCATTTTGGCCACTGCCATGTTCGCCGATCTCTTATTGTGCGGCCGTGCTATTTGAGAAGCCCTGGAGTCGATTTCGTGCTGTCAGATGGAATCCCACATGGCGAGCACCAGTCGTAGCTATGCCAGTCAGCAGCCACTTCTTGTTCTCTACCTTGAGGCTCAGGATGCCGATGGACGCATCTCCACCCAATGACAGCTGTTGGAAGTCTTGGAATTCATCAATTTTCACTGTTTGGGAACAACTTTCTCACCTTACATTGAGCTATGGACTCGATTCGCCCAGAATCGTGTTTTTGCATGCTCATGGACTAGGTTTTGCAGTGTGCATCCTTCCTATGTCCTATTGAATCTCGCACGTTGTGGATGGTTGCCTTCGCAGACACAACGCCTGTTTGTGCTGATGAGGAGGTTGGAGTTTGCTACAAGCCCCCGGGTAAGTGTGGCCCCCAGCTGTTTCGTTGAGATGGGAAGCCAAGCAATCACTCGACCAGAGCTGCAAACGAGTGACCTTCTGTGGCTGAATGTTCTTCGAAATTCTGCCACAACATTTGTTGCGCCACAAACAGTGTGGGAACGCAGTGCATTTGCTGCAGGCTTATATGTATATCACATATACTCCAAAAAGATCCCTTGCAGGATTGCCATCTGTATGTCCATAACTGTTGCGTGCATGCAAACAGCTCATTAGGAGATAACCAAATGGGACGAAGGCCACCAGCTTCGTCAAGTGATTTAGATGATTTGACGTCCACAGAAATCTGCACTTATTTATCTGCTGCAGAAGCACAACACAATTTGGCGCCTGAAGGCATTCCATTAGTGTGCTTCTTATGCGAAGCTTCATTATCTGTTTTAAGTGCGCGCAGTGATAGTCTGCGGTACTTACGTCATTCTACAAGGAGCAACTCCTGCTGTGGTGACTCCTGCGCCATTCATATGCACAGGAAGGCTTGCGCCCATCATGTGTTGATCTTAAAGCCCGCCTGTTCGCTGCCCTGTGTCCAAATGCTTTCACCCCTTTCGACAGCCATGCTGGTGTCCATGCGTGCTTGCAGTTTTGGGTTCTGCACAGGGGCGCCAGGGGAACAAGTTCTTTTCGATTACTGAGCTCTCATGCATATGCAGGTTATTCAGCACCTGCCACTGCCAGTGCAAAAGCTGTTGCAGTGTCCAACGGGGGCTCCGCCCACGCCTCAGCCAAGGCAGTCGCGAAGTCTGGATCTCCAGGTAAACTCCCTCCTCCTTGGGTACCGTGCCGCTCTCTGCATACGAACCGCTGATCCTTGTTTGCTTCCACAATGAGGTTGCCAGTGTCCTTCCAACTCATTCCCGAGTCTCACATGGCCACCTCCACCTTCGCCAATTTGTGTTGGATGGAGCTGGCTCAAGTTATGTGTTTGTTCAGCACATGGGACCGCTTGTTGCCCTGCACAGGGCTCTTAGGGCTGTGTCTTGAGCCTGGCATTGGGGCTTTGTGTTCATTAACGTCTTTATTCTGAACAACGGCAAACCTGAACTTGAGGCCGTTGACAGTTGCAAGCACGATTACGCTGAATATGGCTGGTCGTCGAATGTTCATCATGGGGGGTCCCATGCATCCCATAACCATTGTTGCATCTTTTCGGTGTGTTACGCTGCCATCACATTGTACATGATTGAAATGACGCACTGACTTGAATAGGTTGCAATGGGTTGTTGGTTGCAATATCGCATTGAGGGTTTCTGGCTGCCCACGGTGTAACCATGGTGTCCTGATATCTTCAACAGGCTATGGCCCCCCCAAGCCTGCATGCAAGACCATCTGGAAGTGCAAAGGTGGGCGCGGCTTTTTTGAAACATTGTATTATTCGGAAGATGAACTGCCACGAAACCATGCTTGTGTGGTGTTGGTATATCGTATCGTGTACGTTGTCGAACGGGGCACAAGCTATGGTGAATTCATTTTGCTGTATACGGCGTGCTCGGTCAAGCTGGCCACGTGTGCTGTTGCGAATAGCCCAGTGGTCATTAACTCTTGTGAGAACGCACCTATCACCTGAATGGCGAACCCCAGGAAATGCACTAGTGATCAGACTTTGCCCCCAGACTGCTGTTTAGATCGAACGAGAAACTGAAACAACCCTGGAGCCGCTGCAGTGTCTGCGATTGAAAGTAAGTTGGGTGGGAGCCACGGGTATGGGAGCCAATTTGGGTTGGCCTCCACAGAACAGCTTAGATTCACGGTGCCACCCAAATCAGCCCGCACGATATGGCTGCCTGCACATCTGTGCAGATCTTGGCATGCCCGCCTGCACGGCGTGGCGCTGCGGGCCGTGCTTTGATATCGACTGCTTTCCAATAACTGCGGCAGCCCAAATCTTTTTTGGGGGCCGTGGGCTGTTTTTGGTATGTCTTGGCGATGGCTCCGACCCCTGGACATTACGGCAGGGTTGATGCGTGATGACGCGAGCAAACAAAAGATCTCTTTCGAAGTTTCCTTTGAAACCAGCGCCGGGATGAAATCGCCAACCTTTGGGAGCAGGCAGTTGTTGACAGTCCGCTACTTCGTGTGGTGCATCTGTGCGTGCGGCGGCTGAAAGGGCCCCGTTGGGCGGTAATCAGCAGCTGCTGACGTGCTGTCGTTTCTGTCCACCTGCACCAGATGTGCCATGTGGCGACGGCTACTGCGAGGCTGGTACTGCCTGCCACGTGGAGGTGATCCCCTGCAGGCCACACAAGGAGCACGACGACGGAGACGACTGAGCGTCACGTGCAGGTCCGAAGTCCAGCGGGTCGATGGGAAGAGCAGAAAGGCTTCACCCGGGGCATCCAGGGAGTGTGTTTATGTGAACGCAAGAATCGAATTTTGGCGCGGAAACGTTGGTGGTGTGTTGCTGCCTGGCATCTTGATGTATTGTTGATTGCTGGCTGCCCTCTGGGGCAGAATTTGATTTGGTATTCGAAGGCCGTTCGAGCGAGCCGGGCCAAGGGACGGGGCGTGTGGGTCGCTTGGCGCGCTGTTGCGTTCTGTGGCTGGATGTCGGCGGAGGTTAGTTATGGTGGTAGGTTCAGAACCATGCTGGATAGGCTGAGAATAAGCTGAGGGATTGAGAGTGGTGCCGGGATGCACGCACGAGGACCCACGGCCGAGGGCCGCCACGGTCAGAAGGATCCCGGGCACGTGTTGCAGATTTTTGTAACTACAAGTGGCCTTCGATCGATGTGCGACTCGTCTGTTCCGCAGAGGGAACACAAGAGGAGAATGCTCATGACAGCCTGTGCCAATCCCGGACAGAGTGGAACCCATCTTGTTTCTTAGCGGCAGCACGGGAAGCAACACAAGCTAAGTTGCCGTCATGCACCGGTCGTGATGTGTCCTTACAACCGAATGTCTCGGGTTGGGCAACAAATGCAACACAACTTGGCCCTGGTTTTCGTCGATGCACCAAAGGAAGCACCTGTGAAGCAAGCAATGCGGGCATGGCTACTTGTTTTGTTTCGGTCCATAGCTCACAGCATTGACTCTGAGACTCGATTTCAACAGCGTGAAGCAGGTGGTTCCAGTTCTGATGCGGCTATTTCATGACCCCGACGGGTCTGATGCCACCCCCTGGCAGCCGAAATCATTACCTACGATTTTGATCCCCAGACTGCAACTGGCGGAACTGCTTGAACAAATGTCACGGAGCGTGAACAAGTATAGGACTGCTGGTAGCACATGTAGGAAAGGGCTGAAGCCGTTCTCGTATTCCGCAAGTCGCCTTTACACATAACGCCCCGCCGTTATCGACCTCGTGCATCCCTATCCTACACTAGACTATCCAGCCTCCAGCCATTAGACACCCGATATTTTCCAAGTTACAAAGGCAGTGGTCTATCTATCGTCTGTTGGCGTGGGAATTCACTGCGTGCTTGCGCAGCATCACAAGGGCAGTTTCGGTGTTATTCATCACGCATGACAGCTTTGCCGGCCTCATCCGTCGCCCCATCCATTCCCGGAGCTCCATCCAGGGAGATAGTCACCTGACATGCGACACCAGGGCATTTCAGTCCATGTCAAACCAAACAAGCACACCCAATACCCACAGGTCAAATGCCACATTCTTGACAACGACTCATTTTCGCAATCGCACCAACGATCATATATAAATGGTGTATAGGTTCATCATCATCATCATCATGATTTTTACAGAACAAGGCAATGAGGTATAGGTTATAT